GAGCTCCCCCCGCGGAGCGGCCGCCTGTGGCTGAGCCCGGCACTGCGCTCTCGGCACCCCCCCACACCCTGCCAAAAGCGACAGGTTTTTCACAGAGAAGGTGCTGACGCTGTCATGCAGCAATGGCTTTATATGTTCTTAATGGTGTTTTCGTATTTGTAATATTTGTCATTTTATGTTGTGAGTAATAAGTGTAAGGGGCTCGAGTGTGTGAGTGTGTGGCGGCCCACTGCAGCTGCAGAGTTCCCCGGCCAGGGAAGCGGCCAACGAGAAATGACAGAGTCCTAGTGCCCGCCCGCTGGGTCATCGGTGCTGTGGTTTGTTTGGGCTCAGTGTTGTGTTACATGTAAAATACCTCCTCTAGCAAGAAGCAGTAATTCTGTGTGTTAATTGTTGTCTTGAATTTAGGTGCATACTCTGCGGGGAGAGTGCACCTCTGAACCATCTGCCTAATGAAAATATTGTTAAAAAATCACCTGCAACCTTACAGGGGTTGTTTTGTTTTAGCAGGGGTTGTAGATGCTGATTATGAAGAGAAAAATCAATATTATGGTCTGTACCCCTATGTTCAGTAACAAAAGGATCAAAAAAATTATTCAGCTTGCTTATTTTACTGTGGCTCCCCCTAATAGTATACCAAGAAGCCGCAATTACTCAGGATTTGGATCAGCAGGTACCCTTTAAATATTTTTTAACTTAAATGTGACAAAAGGTTAATTTCTGGTAAAATGTACTCTTGTTAAAGCTAAAAAATCTGTTGAGCTGACAGGCATTTTAGATACTGGTGCAGATGTAACCATAATATCTGTGAGCAGATTGGCTGTTAGCTCTGTTACCTCAAATGCTTTTCAGGGTTGGTGGTCATGCTGTAACAATTTAAAGCAAAGATCTCATTCATGTAAGGGGACCAAAAAACTGGATAGCAAATATTCATCCATTTATATTGGAAAACCCTATTACATTTTGGGGTCATGACTGTATAGCTCAATGGGGAACTCAAATTGGATCAAATTTGTCTTAAATCACCACTGTAGCACGACCCATCCTGAAATGCACCCTGACACTAACCTGGTAAACCGAATCACCTGTCTGACTCGGTCAGTGGCCCTTACTAAGGAAAAAGTCGTGCCACCTTAATGATTTCATTCAAGGACAATTAAGTTTCTTATTTTAAAGAAAAGTGGTAAATAGTGACTTTTACATAATCTCCAACATATTAATGATACCATGGAGGATAAAAATATTTTGCAACCATGAATGCCCTCCCCAACAATGATTACCTGAAACTGGCATCTTGTAGTAACTGATCTAAAGGATTGATTCCTTTTATCATTCCCTTGCATCCAAACAATGCACCTAAATTACTTTTTCTATTCCCACTATTAATATTAGTGAACCTGCAAAACAATACCACTGTGTTATTTTACCATAACACATAAAAATCCCACCAGGTCCCCCAAGCTGTTAAATATCATTATATGGATGACATCCTTATAGCAACAAAAACGCAGGAGATCATGGAAAAGACTCTTCCGTTAACCAAACACTCACTATCTCAAATAGTGTTGCAAATATCACTTCAAAAGGTACACCTATCATCACCAGGCAGTACCTGAGCTGAAGAATTTGTGAACAGACTACTGTCCTGCAACAACTTAAAACTGCTATTAAGACTTTAAAAGTTTTACAGAAACTGTTAGGAACCATAAATTGGATACAGCCGTTGTGGGCCTAACTCATGATGATCTGCATAGCTTGTTTGATATTTTATGAAAAGATCCTTCACTAACATCACCCAAAGTACTTACAGAGAAAGCAAAATAAGATCTTCACTGTATAGCTAACACCATCTCAAACAGACAAGCATCGTAGATATACTGCATTCCCCCACGGAACAAGCCATCGTAGAAAGAACACGCCAGACCTTGAAAGCGCTTTTGCAAAAACAAAAAGGGGAAGAAGTCTTGGCTCCAGGTCAACCATATCCTCTGCTGTTTCAGTGGGATGAAAAACACATGCATTTTTTTCCACCGGAATGCCAGGTCAATACAAAAACAATTTTCTTTATCAACTTGCCCTGAATACCAGAAAGACTCCATCTCTTCAACAGGGAAGTGGTGTCGACCCTTGGGGACTCACCTCCTCAGAATTATAGCAACCTGTTGTCACTTAGCTGCATTTCAAATGTTAAAATATGTACATGTGTCTGTTAATACCTTTTCTGGAGCACTGTTTGCATCCTGTCATACAGTGGGGAGTCAAGCATCTGACCTGCATTCCCCATTCACCGGCCGGTCAGGCCACTGTGAAGCATACATCTAGCAAGCTAAAGCATCTATTACAACAACAACAACAACAACAACAAACGGGCAAGATGCAAAATATCAATCTACACCTCACAAAGCACTAAATAAGGCATTATATGTCATGAACCTTTTAAACATTTCCCCTGTCTCACAGGTGCCACCAATATTGCGTCATTTCTCATCACAGATACCAGATCAACGAGAAGTCCAGAGCAAGGCTCAAGTGTTAACAAAAAACTTAAAAAGTAGTAACTGAGAAGGACCATATCTTTTAATAACCTGGGGAAGAGATTATGCTTGTGTCTCCACAGGTCTCAGTCTCCAATGGTCACCGGCAAGGTGTGTGCAACCACACCTGAGGCATGAGAGGCAGCCAGAACTCAGGATACAGCTGTGGGTGCTGTGAGTGCCCCCGTGTTGGCAGTCTGCGATCTCTTCGACTTATCATTTAAGCAGAATGTCTGGGTAACAAAACAAACTACACTACAGTTGCCAATTCTTTTAAGAGAAAATGCTAACAGTAATTGCAGCTCCTTAATGAAATATATAGGCTTACTAGTCACTTGTGCAAGATGTAGTTTAGATGGAATGTAGTTATTAATAACGATGAAATGCTGTAAGAATGTGTGTATTCAACTTTCTTTGTTTAGCAATATTAAAAGTGAAAAGCTCAAATGTTTAACCTTATTAGAAACTCCCTTGGTTTTCCCCCTGGAGTACTGGCCAGGCTCTGGGTGGAACCCAACAAGAGGATGAAATCAGATGTTCCCACTCAAGAAAAAGTGCCAGTTATTTTGGCCAGTTGATTTAGAGGCTGGACCTGCTTGCAGTGATGTTGGATGCCTCACCTACGGATGGACGCATTGTGTAGGGTTTCCAGTTTGTGAGGAAGGGCACTCTAAATTCTCACTGCACCCAGGGTTCCCCAGCGATTGCAGATCTGAATGTTAGTACCCAATTAAATAAGTGTGCTACTCCATGTTTTCCTTACTGTTTATTTTGTAGTATTTAGTTATATCCCTTATTTATAGGTAGTGAAATTAGCCTACTCTTTTAACTAGTAATTGTAACTGCTGTATTGTTTTAACCTTCTGTGGAACTATTCCAAGTACACTATGTTTTTGAAGTTTGTCTAACCCTTAATTAATACAGCTCTCAAACAAGTCTTGCAGGTGCCAATGCAAAACCAAGAAAGGGGAGATCTGGGAGGCATCGGCCTTACACAGCCTCTGACAAACAGCTAGGCTTTGATGAAGAACAGGCCTCGTAGGATAGATAAGAAACTGCTGAGTTGTGCCAAGGTGGCAGGGAAAAATCAATCAGGACAGCAGGCAATTTGCCTGGGCTTAGCAACTGCTGCCGACCCATCTCAGACCTGTTTGATTGGAGTTAAAACTGAGAGGCTCTCTTCCCCCCAGTAGCTGGGAATAGCATGCAAAATCAGGCCTGGGGATGTATGTAGTTTGGTGGATAAAAAGCCTATCTGACACATGGTTGGTATAATCAGACAGTCTGGCTGGGATGGCAAAACGTGACTCCTTCAGCAGTACCAATAAATGACATTTGTTTTTGTAGTAATACTTACATGATGGGTTTACATCTTGAAGAGGGAAGAGTATTTAATAATGATCCAACTAAAAGGTTACCAATTACTGGATGGTTAAAAGATTTGTTTTTACATGGACTAACAGTTTAAATTGTCATTATAATCCTTTTAATGATGTTAAACTGTGTGTGGAATGGCTGGAAAACAACGGGTACATTTTGAGCGATCCAAACCAAGTGGCCTCACTGTAACAACAGGCTGTAGCTGTTGTGAAGAACACCTGCAAGGCCAAATGGTTGAGAAACTGCGTATGTAGCAAAAAGATAAAAGAAGCTGGACTGTAGAAGACAAGATGTTTGCCTGGCAGGAGAGCAGCTCGTAGACACCACACTAGGACCAATCATAGAGGGTAAAAGGGCTCATAGACAAGTAGCTTTAACCTATGGACAATCAAGTAGCTGCACATGTACTTTATGGTAGTCTATAAATTACTGTGTATCCTTTAATAAAATGGCATTGTGGAGGCCTGGAAAGATTGTCACTACATCTCTCTTAGCCCCCAGGAGTAGGCGTTGTAAAAGCCCTATCCACCTTGAACAAAATAGCCTGTTGGAGTGTAAAACAATTTAACTTAACATCTAATATAGTAAGTAATTTGTTGACAAATTAAGATAGTATAAGGCATGCTGTTCTACAAAATAAAGCGACTATAGATTTTTGTTATTGGCACCAGAACATGGATGTGAAGAATTTAAGGGTATGTACTGTGTGAATCTTTCTGATCACTCTCAATTTATCTCTAGGCATTGTTACTAACTGCAAGACAATATACATAGTGAGATTATTGCTGTCTTGTGTGGTAAATAGAATAGAGGCCTTAATAAAAAGAAAAGGGGGAATTGTGAGTGCGTATGCCAGGTCGCAAACAGTCTGCGTCACTGACAATGTAAAAGTGTCATCAGCATTCAAGTTAGAAGATTAACAATGTCTGAATTAATGACACACTTGTGTTAGAAGACTAACAGCATCTAGATTAACGACGGCTAAAAGTGAAAGTATTTTTACTCATTAGGGAAGAAACAGATAAGAAAGGAATCTGTAGAATAACAAAGCAGAAATTTATCTACCAGTTGTGCACGCTTAGTAGCGCTTGTTGAAACAACTGAGAGGAACGAGTTTTTGAAATGAGCGTGCACCAGAGCAACACACAGATTTGCTGTCACGGGAATATATAAGGACTTGTTTTTCTCATAAAGATCGGAGCTTGACTGTTAACCATATTGGTGTGTGTGTCTTGTCTCACAGACTCATCCTGCAAATAAGGGGGTTCCTGCTACAAAAGACAAGGTCACATATCTTCCGTATCTTACCTCATTTAAGTCTCTGATTTCATTTTCTGCCAAAGAAAAAACAGTCAGATTCTGAGGTAGGCAAACGGGGGCAGTGCGAAGTGAAGTTATAATATTTCCATGTAGCAAAAGAGTCTATAAAATAAAAATACAGTGATGAAATATATGTTTCACCAAAACCCCCATATTTCTTGTTCGGGCAATACCTGTACAATAGACACAAAAGAACTATAATTAAGGCTTTCTGGTACCATCAACATTTTTTAATTCCACTAAGGAATTTTTGTATTTTAGATTTTTATGTTTTAGAGCAAATTCTTCTCATTTTAAGATGCAAAACTGAAGTATAGTCTGTTACAAATAATGTATTTGGGAACATTTCTTCTCTACAGCATTCACGCTGAAAGAGTTAACATTAGGTTTTATCTTGACTCCTGACATGAGAGGAGAGAACCGAGAGCTATCAACAAGATCTCACCATGTGATCTTTATCAAAATCATTACAGTCATTATAGAAAAATCACTGCCTTGGTTCCTGCAACTTGAAAATCGGGCAAAGAATTCTTACGTGCTTCCCTCTGGAAATTATAGTGATTAATTAAATTGCTTCAAGAGCTCGTGTTTGAATAATGAATGCTTTAAAAGGCAGCAATTTTCAAACCAAATTTCTTCATGCAAAGAATGTAACAAAACCAGAGGTAAAACAGCACCTACCTTCAGCAATGTAAGCTTGGAGAGATCGCCTAATTGAGCTATGTTATTGTCTGACAAATCAAGGTGCTGAAGAGACAGACAGGAATTGATTTGTTCAATGGCCTACAAAAATAAAGAAGTCATTTACTCACAGAAACTCTCATTTAGTCATTAAATAAAACCAGTATCACTATAAATTATTTTCAAAGCTAAAATTATTTTCAAAGCTAAAAACCACCAGATAAGTAACCCAAACCAAACCCCACATTTTTACATGGTTTCATTTTAAAGATGTAATTCTTCTCTTATTTTGGGGATTATTTTCCACTTCTCATTACATTTTGATATCAAAGCTTTTATTTTTTCCTAGACAATTCTTGTCCAAAAGTTGACCTCTTCTATTTCATAAACCAGCAGATGCAAATCTTCATCATTTGTTCCAATCAAAACCAGAAATACATTCAAATTTCCCTGTAGCATTTTACAAACTTCTACAACACTAGATTCTGGAAAATGTATAAAGACTAAATACTTTACCTTAAGATTATTGCCTGCCAAGTTCAGCCATTCTAGGTGCACCAAATCCTTTAGCCCTTCCACATACCCAATACTATTATGAGGCAAGTTTAGCACCCGGAGCTTAGTCAGTTTTGCTACACCCATCATTCGCACCAAACGATTGTTGGCTACAGAGAGCTGCAGGTTGACACACAAATAAAAGAAACAGTTCTAACTATTAAACTGAACAGACACAACACGCTTTTACTTTTAGTGGTTAAAAATTTAATCCAACAGGACCTTCTTCAAACTATGCATTCCATTTTCAAGCAAATAACAGACACAAAAAACTGCAAGAGCCAGGAAGTAAATTACTGATCAAAGTAGCCTTCACAATGCACTTTGCAAACTTGAGAGGAAATCCACCAAGCAATAGCTAAATAAAGGAAAATGAATGAGGAATCGTATCATATGAAAATAAGATTTTAGAATCAGAATTGCCAAATCACTGTGCAAATTGTTGCACTATTCTTGATGTAAAATTGTATGTACTGTCAGTAGAGCAGACAATAAAATGTATTTCACGTGATTCTCAAAAAGGTCCCGTGTCCTAACAGGACTGTAAATCCCAAACTTTTTGAAGGATAAATCTTCATTAGCCATACACATTAAAAACATGACCAACAACCTGGCAGACAGGTGAAGCTTTGTTGTAGCAACAAACCCCACCCCTATCTCAGTTTAACTTGCCTCTAGAAACTATTAGGTGACTTCAGGTCTACCTGGACAATTAAGATGGACTTGTAGAGCTTTGCCCTGGAGGGATTAACACTCTGATTTTTGCAAGCACTGTGCACAGTCTTAACCTTGTTATCACTAATACCTCAATGCACTGCTGCTAGTATCAAAATTAAGGATAAGCACTAGCAACATCAGGGCCTACATGAATTGATATGTTATCAAGACTACTCAGATCCCTCCCACTTCACATTCTTTTATTTGCTATTTCTATTTTAAACTAATCCACACAGCTTTTTTTCTTCTTGTAAATTAAGTCTACTAATCCTCTTCCTCTATCAAGAGTTCTGAAATCCAAATGGAGAGGAAAGTCCTGAGAGAGTTGGGGTTGTTCAGCCTGGAGAAGGCTCAAGGGAGACCTTGTAGCAGCCTTCCAGTACTTAAAAAGGGGGCTACAGGAAAGGCGGGGAGGGACTCTTTATCAGAGAATGTAGGGATAGGACAAGGTGTAATGGTTAAATTGACAGGGGCTAGATTTAGATTAGAGATAAGGAAGAAATTCTTTCCTGTGAGGGTGGTGAGGCACTGGCACAGGTTGCCCAGAGCAGCTGTGGCTGCCCCCTCCCTGGCAGTGTTCCAGGCCAGGCTGGACGGGGCTTTGGGCAACCTGGGCTAGTGGAAGGTGTCCCTGCCCATGGCAGGGGGGTGGAACTAGATGGTCTTTAAGGTCCCTTCCAACACAAACCATTCTGTGATTCTATGAAACATGAAAGGTATGTATGTCTCTATGTTTACAGTTACACAGAGAAAAGATGAAACAAAGGGGTTTTTAAGGTTACAAAGCTCAAGTATTCAAAAGTTAAGTAGTGTCAAAATCTGGGTTATCAATGACTTTTCTATTGTTCTTATGACACTCCCCATTAGGATTTATTTACTTCATTTTTAGTTACCTAGGTAACTAGCAAAACAGCCTCCCCCACTGTCAACTGTAGAGTTACATTGAAAACAAAGCTTTCTATTTTAGTTACCCATAATTTATTTTCCTATACACAATATGGCCTTAAAGCAGAAGTATTTTGAATTAGCATCACAGCACCATTATTTCATAGCAAATTCAAGTCAAGTATCACTGACCTGCATCAGATTCCTGCATTTCTCCAAGTGTTCCAATTTTATTATCTGGTTTTTGTCCAGAATCAGAGTATGAGTATCAGCATCACAGGGTAAGGCTGGACCCAGTTTTTGCAATCCTTGACCTGACCAATTGACTACCAAACCTTAGAAGAAAAATAAAATATAAAAAAGCCCCAAAGTCAACACTTCATATATGAGAACATGTACTGAAAAAGCAAAGCAAGATAAACAATCTGTTTTGTAACACACTCATCTTATTTGCAAATAGAAATTCACTTTCTTTTCAATGCAAAACTGAAGCAAATTACTTCAGATCAAACATATTAGAATAACAGTTCCAGTTACTGGAAGCTATGCATTCCAGGTCCTGTCCCAATAAAGAATTCAGGTAGAATTCTAGGAAAGTCAGTAACAGATCCTCTGAAGTGGGAAGCAGAGCAAAATTTCAATAGCTGAATTGAAAGGTGTGATCCTAAACACCTCAAACTTAAAAAGCCCCTACATTTTAAAATTCTTCAAATATTTCAAGTTTTGAGCAGCTTGACAACTACACATCTATGTGTAGGCACCTTATCTAAATTCCTGCTTGTTGGCAAACCCAGAACATGTCTTGCACACATATGTAGGATCACACTCCACAGAAAACAGCAACCATAGCTGTCACTAAAAAAACCCCATAAAATTAAAAGAGGAAGAGTCTGGAAAAAGGGTAAGCAGTATCCATTCTTTCATCAATCAGAATGTGGGAAACCTGATGAGGATGTAAACCTACAAACCTTACCTTCCTGCAGAATTTCATCAAACACCCTGCTAAAGTATTTGATGATTAGGGCACTTAACTCATAAATGTGAAATATCCATGCGATAGTCTTCAACCAAAGGAAAATAAACAGCCTTATCATGAACAAATCTTGAAAAAGCTAGACCACTGAATAAAAGCCCACAGTTTTCTCTTTTTCCTTCCCTCTGTATTTCAAAGAAAAAATTATTAGCCTACACTTTTTTTTTTTTTTAAGTGCACTCTCGATGCAAACTCAAAGCAGAGGTTTCAACCCACGAAACCAAAACTGACACCTCTCCGTGGTCAGAAGTCGGATGCTTAAACTTCAGAGGAGAACCAAACTTAATATTCAACCCTCCCTTTAAAACTCCCTATCAGACATTTTATGATATGCTACCTTTTAGCAGTCTGGCTGCTACAAAACCTAATCTTAAGTATTTAACTATGTTAATTTATTGGGTAGGGAACGTGTCTAACTCAGAGCCAAAGATTCCACTCCAGCCCTTCACCAGCTAAATCCTCGAGTGCATCTCGACTTGGGATTTTGGTGCTTGTGTCCCCAAATTGTATTGATAGGCTAAATGTCCAGCAAAGTACCTAGTGAAATGACAGAACAAAGAACCCATTCATATAGCCATATCACAGTACTGCTGACATTTGGGCAGGAGCAGATTGTAAGTAGGCTAGCATACCATTTAATTAACAAAACACACAAAATGTTCCATGCAAAAACTGTTACTATATAAAGTTAAAAGGAAAACATTTGCCATCTTCAGCGAACTTGAATCACTGGGCATGGTGACGCCCGCTAATAATAATTTTCATACATTAAGCTTCTGCTGCATGTCTTACATACATACACACACCATTCTAGTGCTTGGTCTTCTCTTACTATCTGCTCAGTAAATACTGCCACCTTTTTCAGCAGCATGTTCCAGAAGAGTGCTCTTACCCTAACATGTACTATATATTAGTATTCTTACAGTTTGCCAGCTTTTAGAGCTTAGTTATACTAAGGATGGAGAAAAACACTTTTGACATAGCATTTTGTCAACTCAAGAATATGCTTTTCTAAGAAGCATCTCCAAGGACATTTGTTACATTTCCATAGTGTCTCAAATCCACAGCCCCCCCAAGACCTCTGAAGAGCAGCAATGCAGAGCCAGCAGTACCAGAACCAGTCACACTCCTGGCTTTGCACATTCAGGGGGAAGGTATTCCATTCTCACTTAAGCTGCCACCTCTACAACCACTTGGTCACTTTAACTAAACAGAAAAAGTTTGCATCTGTCTGTTTATCCAGGGGTTTGTAACAAAAATTCACAACTGGCCCATATCAACCAAGGAGAAACGCTAGGAGCCACAGTATAGAATTACAAGAGTAATCCTTTTAATCATGCACATCAGGTGTCCCACTCAAACTGGGGCACCCAGAATGTGGTTTTATACATGGTTCTTACACCTTTCAAGCATTTGGGTACAACACAGTTTGACTAATTGCTACTTAACGTGCAAGCTACCATTTGCAAAGAAACTATTTCTATGGCATCATCATCCACCTGCTTCTCTATTGATCTCAATGTCCCTGGTGTCAGTCTTGCTGTAGTTACTGATCTATGATGCCAGACAACAGGAGGGTTTCACAGAGGTGTTAGAGAAGGTAGGATGCTGGTGTTATCTCAGTTGTCTGGGAGTATCCTTTATGGGCAGCTTTAAGATTCAGCGAAGCAAAGGCCCCCTATTTCAAGGAGCTATGTGCTCCTCCTCCTTGCAACAAGCTGGCATCCTTTAGCTTGCTTGCTTAAGCATGACTATTCAGTATACAGTGTGAACTATAAATATGTCTTAATTAATACGATTTCACACTATAAAGACTCATTGGTATAATACTTCAGGAATGCGATTTTCCTACAAGCTCTCAGTACCCAGTAAAACATTTCAGAATTGCTTATTATTCGTTTGGCAGTTATGTACATTAACAGACCTCAGAAGTTCACAATTTTTGCTCAGGCCTCTGCTCACTCGCTGAGCCCTTAAGCCTTCAAATTCAGATGTGCATTATTATAAGGCACCGTCCTTTCAGACGGAGGCAGGAAGCAAAAAACTGCACCCTCAGAGGCGGCGCTGCCAGCCAAGTCCTCTCTGCCCTCCGCTGCGGGAAAAAAGCCTTATTTCAACCCCCGGCCTACCTGCTACAAGGTTGCGGGCAAATCCCTCCTTAGGGGCGCGGGCCTCAGCAGGATGGACAGCCCCTCTCCGCGCTCCCCGCCCATGCCCAGAGTCAAACCCGCTGCCGGGCGGCGACCCCCGCTCCTCAGGGCGGGCTGCCCGAGCGCGGGAAGCCGCGCCGACGCCGATCTCCTCGCCCCCCGCTGTCGTGGCCGCTTCCAACCCCACTGGGGAACCTCAGGCACCGGCCGCGAGCGGAGAGGAAAGCGTGGAGCCGCCA